ACCGGTTTCCTTGTGTCTCCCTGATCCATCACTTCATGCTGCAGACAGACAGCTCTCACCAAAAAGACCTACACCGCACCCGCCCGTCCCCGTGCCCCCACCTGCCCCACCAGCCTCATCGGCCACCCTTCCGGCCTTGCCTGAGAAATCGCATCTCCTCGTCCTTCTTCTCATCCTCGCTGATGATCTTGGACGTGGTGATGCTCACCTCTACGCCGTCCACTATGAACTTGCGTGTCCTCTTGAGGGTTTTATTGTGCAGCCTTGAGTCCTGGCAGGAAAGTCATTAGGCAAAGCTCAGCCTTTCAGCTAAGGATCCGTGGGTGACATGGAGTGTGGCCCACCGCCCGCCTGGCCCCACAGCCCTAGCTCCACCCAGGGAGGATGTGACTGTCCATCGTCTCCATCGTCCCCTTGCTTTAAGCGTCTCGATCCAGGGGCCTGAGTATCTGAACTGATACCCCTTCCTTGCTCGTGCCAAGCGCTCAGCACTTGGTATTTATTTCTGACAGTTACTATTGCGACCACACAGCCCAGAAAACCAAGTTCACAACTGATTTGGCAGCTGAAGCCAATGTGACCCGAACTCCACTGCAGGCCACATCCATCCGGAGGCACCGTGAGATCATTCGTGACCTTGCTCTTCTCCCGTGACTCCTGGCAGTGCTCGGTACCCTTTGGAAGTTCTGCGTCCTGATTCGGAGGAGGCCCCGTGGGGTCGCCACGGCGTCGCCCCACTCCGACCTCCCAGCTGGCTTCCAAGGCCCTTCCTGGTGTAGCCCAGCTCTGCTCTTCCCACACTGCCCTGGGGACCCCCAGCCCAAGAGAGAGGGGAGAGGGAGGGCCAGGGCGGCTCCCGTCCACAGTCTCTGTGCCCCGAAAGTGTGCTCTGACCCCCCGACTCCTGCTCGCTTGAGCCCAGGGGCTGTGGACACCTTCGGCACCGAGGAGTCACACCCGACTCTCAGTCCCTCCACCATGCAGCTCACGTGTCCCCGGACTCAAGACGGGTCGGACGGCAGTGAGAAATGGGGGCCTGGCGGGGGAGGGTGGGGTGGCGCAGCAGGGGCCGCGGCCCTCACACTAGGACCGCTCCCGCCCGTGGGGCCACAGGTCCCTGAAGTTACAGCCCCCGCCCCCGACGCCGGGGGTGCTGACGTGGCCAGCAGATTCTTACCAAAACAGCGTGTTCCCTGACCAGCGAGGAATGTTCTCAACGCCCTTGAGAAGAGGCGGGGGCGGCGGGGGGACAGTTCCCTGCTCTGGGTGGGTCGGCCTTTATTTATTTTTTTAATTATTTTTTTTTCGCTTTTAGAGAAGGAACAGGACACCTGTCCTAGGGAAGGTGATGGGCTGGTGGGCCCCGATGCTAATCCCAGGGAGAGGCGCTGTCCTGCCCGCCCCGGTGGCCGGCAGCGTGTGCAGCGGCTGCTTCTCTCTCACTCGCTCTCAGTTGGCCAATATTTTTGAGTCTCTACTGTGTGTTCTTCACTGAGTAAACAATCGAAGAGAAAAAAACGAAAAGATACAGTACCTCCCCGCAAATCGGCCTTGATTGGGGATGGGACCCTCAGTGTGGCCTAGTCAGGTGACCAGAGGTGAATTCAAGAACATCTGCAGACAGCAGTGCGGGCAGTGAACGGGGGCGGCCAGAGCCCCCACCGCAAAGGCGAAATGGCTCTCAGGGTTCAGAGCACAGAGTCGGGGGTCTGGCCAGCTCCTCGCTTCCCGTCTGAGCCTGTTTGCTCATCTATACGGTGATGAAGGGCTGAAGGGGCCGCCTCGGTTTTTTGGTTTAGATCACTCTGCAGTGTCAGGCCCCCTCGCACCGTGGCTACTGTCACTCACAATGCCCCCTCCTCCAGAAAGGCCACTGACTCTACCGGTCACCAGCTGGCCCCGCATGGCTGAGCTGGAAGCAAGACAACCTCCACTTCTAGAATTCTCTCCCCCAAAATTTCACCAGCGCCTTTGGCCAAACCCAATTTAAATGGAAACCTAAGCTGAAATTTAAACCCAAACCAACAGTCTGACATGACGAAGTCCCAGACTGAACTCAGGTATTTTGCAGATTAAACTAGGAATCCAACTAAAAGCACTTTTTAAAAGGAACAACAATCCCCGTGAGCCGCCTGAACATGGAAGGCGGCCACGAACGCTCTCACAGCCCAAACCCGAGCAGCGCGCTCTGCGGCACCTTTGGGGGCGCTGACGGTGACGTTACCTTGATGGACAGAGAGCCCGTCTCTCTGTTCAGGGACAAGTCGGCCGAGAGGGAGCTGCCGTAGTCCATGCTCTCGGAGGTGGAGAGGCTGCCCGCGTCCGAGTTCCTCTTGGAAGGGCGTGGGGACGCCTGGACGGGGAGCTCCAGGCTGCCGTTGGCCAGCTTCTCGCTGCCCAAGGTCTCCAGGGCGCTGCTGATGGGCCGGCTCTGGCTCGCCTTTTGGGACCGGCTGGCTGCTGGACTGAGGCCTCCACCCAGGTGAGGGGCCTGCTTCTCCTCGGACACCTGAATCCTGGCGTCCATCGACAGCGGTCGGGACTTCCGGAGCGGCACAGGCACTGCTAGGCCGTTCTCATTTCCAGGGGCTGCGTCTGGGGGGCTGATGGTTGGGAGACACCTGTCCCCAGAGGGCTGGCTGGGCCCATTCGCCCTGTCCTGAGGCTGGCTGGGTGGCAATGGGGTGAGAGGCTTGTCGTCGTCGGCGCTGAGGCTCACCGGACTCGCCTCGGAAGAGTCGGGTGTGTGGTTCTCCAGAGGCTAGAGGGAAAACACATGGTCAAGGCCATGCATGTCCAAGGCCAGAGTCAGAAGGTCAGACACCACAAAGTGCAGTGGGCCAAAGCGAGGGAAATAACCAGTGTCCAGTGAGCCACAGTCCTCACCACTCCATGTCGCCTACCCGACAGTGAAATGAGTTACCACTTGTTCTGAGGACCAGGAATCTCCTGAATCTCTGAATCTCGGCTGTTTAACACCTGTTATTCTTCACAGGCATGGAGGCGACTGCGGCCAGCCAGACAGCTCGTGCCCCGTCCAAAGGCGGCAGTGGCTACTCTGCTCTGGCCAATCGTGACAACATGGGAAAATGGGTCCCTTGTGGCCAGACCTTGCAATTTTTCAAGACGAGCTACAATCTGGATTTTTACACGACATCTGATTTTTAGATGGCAATTAATTTGGGTTTTTAAAAAATTGCATAAAAGCCAAATCAAGCCTATCCAGGGGCTAGTCCAGCCTACCAGCCACTAACTTATTAAAGTTTCATTTTTGTTTGTTACAGCTTTTGGGGGGTGAAAAGTACTGGAAATGGAACACCTACTTCTCTGGAGAAAATGTAAATGTCCAGCTTAACGAATACAGTGAGCGCTCGCACACACAGTCGCCTTCCAGGTCGGTCACCTTAAGGTCGGCAGTGGAGCTGGCCGGCCCAGAGGCCCCGCCCGTGCCCATCCTTCCCAGGGACAGGTACATAATCCTTGCCCTGATCCTTCCGTGCTATAGGCTGATTCGCCTGCTTTTAAGCATTCCCTGGGGTCCTGACGGCCACTGGTTTTCGACCTTGGATATGGAAACTTCCAGAAGCAACTCTAACCGCCATCTATTCAACAATTCAGATATGCAGATCTGATCCTGCTGTCCCCACACCAGCGCCCCGGCCCCGCCTCCAGCCCCACAGCACCGCCTGGACGGCGGATGTCCCCTCACGGACGAGGCCCTCCCCAGACGACTAGACCAGCGATTCGAAAGCGGCAGCTCAGGGCAGGATCCAGCCTACAGACGTGTTCTACTTGGCTCAAACGTTTTTAAATTTTTTAAATTAACTTTTACTTAAATTTGGATTCAGCTAAAGCTGCAAACAGGTTACAAACGTGCCAGGCTGTGGGTGTCCGGGGCACTCAGGGCAGCTGGGCAGGGTCTGGGGGGGCCGGAGCCCCTCGGCTGGTTACCTCTGGTCATGTGCAGCCTTTATCTGAGTGTACCCCACAGCGTGCTAAAAGCGTGCTCACCTTGTGAGCCGCAATGGGGGAAGGGCTGGGAAGCAAAGTGTCAACTTTTAAGAACTGGAAGATCTCGTGTGACAATCAAGACCCCCAGTCTTTCCTGGTAACTAACAGGATCCCACCAATGGCCCCACTGCCTCACCCTGGTCCCCGTGCCAGTTCACAGGACTTGTGGCGTCACAGCCTGTGACCTTGAGGCTGGGGAGACACAGAAAGGACTCCTTGCGCCTCTCAGGCCCCCTCCCACAGCAGCCGAGGCCCGTGGGGGTCCCGTCCCTCCCCAGCACCCGCTCTGGGCCTTACCGAAGTGGCATCCACGGCTTCCTCCTCTTCCCCCTCATCCCGGCCATCTTCAATCTCCTCCATCACCTCGGCCTTGGCCTCAGCCACCAGCTCCCGCAGAGCCTTGTTACTGGTGATGCTGCTGACGAAGGGATGCTGAGAGACGGGACACCTGGGTTAGAACCGCTGAGGGCTGGGGGAGGAGGGCACGCAAAGGCTGGGGGAACGTGAACTTGATAAGGGAGACCCAGAGGCAGCTCGGAAAGTCCTGTGTGTGACAGAAAGAGGGCGGAGGCCGCTCCGCCACCCACCAGCTGTGACACTGAGCATGTCACCTTCCCTCTCTGAGCCGCAGGCACCTCGCCTCTGAAGAGCCAATGATGCCAAACCTGCAGGAGATTATGAAATGAGATGATGCACACCAAAGCGCTCAGCCCAAAGCAGGAGCTGAAGCGATGCTGGGGCAGTCTGTGTTATCTGCTTTCTTATTTTAAAAGGTTTTAATACATGGTTTCAAAAATATATACCACACACACACACACACACACACACACACACACACACTCTTCACTGAACTATTAAATAACACAGCAAATCATTAAACTCAGTGACTTTTCCCATCTTTTTCATGTATATACACCTGGTGTAACCGTCACTAGCCCCAGGCACAGAACATTTCCGTCACCACGGAAAGGTCCCTGTACCCCCTTGCAGTCCACCCCACACCCCACAGTCGCCTGGCTCAGAGCCAGTCCTGCCTGCTCCTTAACTTTACACGAACAGAACCAGCCGGTGAGTTGCCTTTTGTGGCTGGCTGGCTTCGAACAGCGTGAGCTGAAACTATGGGGTTCGCCTACACTGCCGTGTGTATCAGCGAACTGCCCCTCTTTTATTCCTGTGCAGAATTCTGCTGCATGAACATGTCAGTTCGTTCATTCATTCATTCTGCTGCCAATGGACATGTGTGTCGTTTCCTGGTTTTGGCAACTGTGACTAAAGCTGCTGTCAACATGCCCAGATGTCTTTGGGTGGACATGTGTGTTTGCAAAAGTTTGAGGCAGCGCGGTATCTGTTCTACTCCAAGGTGTTTACAGAGCTGTCACGTCTCTTTCACAGACGCTGCAAAACACCAAAGCTTTAAGGCCTCCGGTGTTAGGTCGGCACAAACAGCTCCCTGGGGAAAGGCTGTCACTGGGCATCTTCTCCCAGCACCTGGCTGTGGACGGGGATGTGGCTGTCCTCAACTCACCACACTCACCCGGGGCGCTGAGGAGGAACGCGGGGTGAGGGGGGGTGCGGGGGAGGGGGAATTCAGTGGGAATTCGTTTATTTGAAATTTACAGGAAGGCTCTCGTGGAATTCACCGTTTTCACTGTCAGAAAATTTACCCGTGGGGAAAGCGTGTCAGGATTGCAGGGAATCACGCCAATGACCAGAGAAAATGAATTTTCTATAGGGCCTTGAAAACACATTCACAACGGAAAGGTCCACTAAAAGCACTTTTATCTTCCTTTAAGGGGCCGGAGGGTGGGGGCAGGGGCGAAAAGAAAAAACAAACAAACAGGTCGTCTGTGGAAGGCCACAGGCAGCGCCCTATTCAACCGGGTCGACACCTGGACTTTGCACGCCCAACAGCAATAAACCTCACTTGCTTGTCATTTGGTTTTTCCAAACCAGTGTGACTTTTCTCCGGTGAGTCCAAAGTACGAAAGAGTTGACGAATTCCATTCTTCCCATGCCCCCACTCACTCACTGATGCGCGCCACAGCCACCACGGCGAGGCCGGCGACGTACCAGGTGCTGCGAGGCTGGCAAGGTCGCTGGCCCTTGGGGCCTGGCAGCCGAGTGGGAGACAATGGTCCGTAACCAAATGACAAGATCGTTTCAGATCCGGTAACAGGCTAGCATGAGGCCGGATCAACCTGGCCTGGGCGGGCGAGGCTACTTAGGGCTGGGGTCAGAGGGGTCTCCGGGAAGAGGGGACATTTGAGCTGAGACCTGAGGGAGGGGAAGGGGCCGACCAGGGAAAGATGTGGGCACGGAGAATGCCAGGCAGAGGGAGCAAGTGCAAAGGTCCTGAGACAGACTGGGCTTGGTGTGCTGGAGGCACCGGGCTGGAGCAGCAGAAACTGCGGGCGAGCAGCGTTGGGGAGCCACAGGGGGAGATGGGGGGTGCACACGAGGCCCCTGGTGAGAAGCTGAGACTTGATTCTCGGAAGCCACTCCCGGGCTGCAGCGCAGCAGTGACGTCGACGACCGTTTAAAGGTGTCGGTCTGCCTGCAGCATGGTTCCGGGGGGTCTTGAGTGGGACTATGAACGCGAGTCACTCGTCGTGGGGGGCAGTGGGTACAGCAGTACGGCCGGACTCAGGGCCGGGCTGCCTGGGCCTAAATCCTGCTCCCAACACCAGCACCTCAGTCTGTGCCTCGGTCTGCTCATCCGCAGACTGGGAGTAACAGTATGGTCGTTCTAAGCATTATAGTAAGTGCTCAAAATCTGACAGCTATCACCTACGGCACGATCATCATCGATACCTTCTCGTCATCACCTCCACCATCACGACCATCACCATCACCATCACCACCATCACCATCACCACCATCACCGCCACCAGCAGCGGCGGCGGTGGCATCACAGAGATGCCTTTGAGGCACCAGTTTGCACCTGCGGCCACTCCTATCTCCTCCCGCATCCCCACAGAGCACAGCGTTTTGGAACAGAGGGCGAGAACCAGATCCTAAAGGCTCCCGAGCGTGCACTGCACAAGTTCACACGCGAGAACTTGAGCGAGCAGCCACAGATCGCTCCACGGCAGCGGCGGAACAGATGTGGCAGAAATAAATCATGCAGGCCAGGCTTCTGGAAATACCAGGTTTTCATCGGAGCAACCACATGCTGACCAGATTAGTAGCCCTTCGGGATGGCCGGGAGCCGCGCCTTGAGGCTGAACCATCTGCTCTGCTGCCTCCCCCAACCAACCCAGGGTCCTTAGGAAATAGAGGCTGGGGGCTGGGGGGTAGGGGGACATGGAGAAGAAAGCTTTTGATGGAGGGGCAGGTGAACAGAGCAGGTCCCCTGGACACCTAGATGCTGGAATCCGGGGCAAGCAGGGCCAGCAGACGGGCAGGCCCTCCTGTGGCTTATTAGGTCTGGATCCCTGTTTTGTCACCTGCTCCGGGACACAAAGCACAGACCACCCCTCCCCGCGTCAACTCCACTACTTCCAGGGATATGTTTACGACAGACATTTCCTTGGCCCCCAAACTGCCAAGGCCCGTTAAGGAGACAAAGGACACTGGGGTGTGTGCCTACAAGGGGACAGGCTGGCACACCGGTCCCCAGAAAGAGCTTGGCCCCCCCGCAGGAGGCCCGGATCGGAGGGGAATCTGCCATCTGCTCCTTCAGGAAGAGGGATAGCTGCCCTGTGCCATCTCTGCGGGGAGCCCCAAGATGCCACACAGCTCGCCCACAGGCACCCGTCTTCCGGCCAGGACCTCGCAGCCATGCACAGACATCCCGTCCAAGGCCTTGAGCCAGTTTTCCTCCGTGTGCTGAGAAACCGTCGGCCGGGGGGTTCCACGTGCCAACACTGGCCTTAGAAAATGCCTAATGGCGTTTCCGAGTCTTCGGGTGTCAGCGGCTTCCCTTCGATCTGCCCTCCCTTCTAACGCCTTTCATCTCTTCTTTCCTCCCTCCATTGGGAGGCAGCTAACCGGAGGGGCACGAGTACAGGCTTCGGGACCAGACGACAAGGATCGGAGTCCCAGCTGTCACTCACAAGCTGTGTGACCTCTCACCTCTCTGCGCCTCAGTCTTAGCTTCTGTCGAATAGGGATGTGAACAGGACCCTGTCACGATGACTAAATCACTTAACCTTCGTTACACATTTAGAGCAGCAGCACCTGGCACGGACCGGCTCACATGGCCACGTAACAGTGTGTTATGGGGACACGTCAGCGAACGAAACAAACACTTCTGTCCTCAGACGGCTGACACGCTAGTCAGAAAGATCAACAGGAAACAAACGGGTAAGTGAAATCGCCCTGTGCTATGTGCCAGGGGAAAATTAAAAGCAGGACAGGGAGAGAGAATTAGGGATGTCAGGGGGGCATCAAGTTTGCCGTTTAAATAGGGTGGCGGAGGGAGGACTCGCCGACAAGATGACACCTGCACAATGACTGAAGAAGACAGCCAACCACGGAGAGCCTTCCGGGCGGCATGGAGAGCCAGGGCAAAGGCCCTGAGACAGGCTAACCCTCGGGGGAGGCCGGGGCGGCTGGTGCAGAGGGCGGCAGCCGTGACGTTACAAGTGGTGCCTATGGGATCTCATTCACTCACGCGATGCCGAGAAGGGTGCACTACCCACATCCCACAGGGGAGGAGTGTAAACTCGGGCCCGGAGAGAGAACTAAGGGTCCAGGCAGGCGAGCCTGACGTCAGAGCCTGGGTCACTGCTGGGCGAGACCGTCCCCGAGAATGTCTGCCCAATCACCCCATGAGCCACAGACCGAAGGGGGCTCGAGGCAGATGCAGGGAAAGCTGAGAGGCCAAGAGGAACCTCCTAGACGCTGCCGGATACAAGGGCCGAGGTGGAGACGTGACCAGCTCCGGAAGGGGCCCTGGGAAGCCAAGATCTGGACCTACCTCTGGCTCCCAAGCCAGGTGGCCTCAGGGAGCCTGTTCTAAGTCAGCGTCCCCACCTAAGGGGACAGTAATGGACCGCCCTCCCCTGCTCAGGCACGGAAAGCAGTGGAAAAAGCTGACAGCGGCCGATGCTCTGAAAGATGCTTCGTTTATCTCAAAGGATCTCTCCTTTCTCCCCGAGGACGCAGCAGGACATTTTTTCCGACTACGGAACGGAAATTCCTGGTGCAGGCTAGGGCTGCGGGGCGGCCACTGGGGACGAGCACAGCTGTCTCCTCACAGCGGAATGTCCTGGAGGCCGGATGTGTGGGGCCAGCAGGTGCCTGCTTACAGGAAACAATTGGCCCCAAGCGCCCGGAGCGTCTGCATCAGCGAGTGACAGCAGGCTCACCCCACCCCCACCCTCCGGCTGCCCCACCAAACACGGCAACACCCAGAAAACGAGGCCTCTGGTCCCCCACGCCTCTGCTCTCAAATACACTGCAGAAATCCACAAGGAACAATCGTGGCCCCCTGGCAGGCAGACCCCATTCTACATCCTGGTTTCTTTCTGTGTTTTAATAATTTGATTCGACGCGTCAAACATTCACTGAGCACAGTGCCTGACAGTTAAGCGAAGCATTTTACAGCATCTTCTCGGTTCATCCTCACCATGAGCCGATAAGGGGGACACCGCTACGATCCCCATTTCAGAGCAAGAACCGAGTCACAGAAAAGTTAAGCCACTCGCCCACGGTCTCACAGCCGGTAAGAGGCAGAGCTGGGATTTGAACCCAGGATTTTCCAAACCCCGGTCCACACATAACTGAGCTGCACTGTAGGCCCGAATGTCCACCTCGGGCGCCACGCCTGACACCCAACAGGTGCTCGGGAAAAGTGGCTGAACGTAAAGAAAGACTGGGCCCGTGGGGTGGCCTCTCCTCCTGTCCTCCCACCGCATGTCAGAGGCTGTCACATGGGTGGAAGGACCAGAGTGGACAGGGCGTGTCGGCTGATGAACGAGTGGTTATGCACACTGTCCCCGGAGCCAGGTGAGAAACGCAAGGCTGACCCCAGCGGTTGCCCAAAGGAAGGGCAGGCCGAGGGGCAGGCCGCTGGCCCCGGGAGAGGGGCCGGGGACCCACTCACCTCCAGCAGCTGTGCGGCGCTGGGCCGGGTCTCTGGGTTCTTATCCAGGGCCGTCTTCAGGAAGTCGCGGAACTCCGCGGACCTGGGAGCACAGGTGGCACAGTGAGCTCGGGGCAGGGAGAGCCGAGAGAACGCTCCGTGTCACAGCCCACTCTCCCGGGAGCCCTGTGCCTCCCACACGCGCCCGTCAGACAAAGGGCGCCTTCGTGAGCTAAAGGATCAGGCAACGGGGCCTTCGACTTGACCTTCTCGTCGCGGACATCACTATACAAACGGGGACGTGGAAATCAGAGGAGCAGGGACCTGCCTAAGGCCACGGAGCAGAACGCAGCGAGGCTGGGGTTCGAGCCTGAACCCCAGTTCCCAGCCCAGGCCTGTGCCATGTGGCTGCTGGGGCTGCTCTTCCCACGGTGGGCCCTGGTTTCCCTGGGTCGCCCGTCGGCTTTGATGGGGTGCCTGTGTGCAGCTCGCCGAGGGGAGGAGGAGGCAAGAGGGCCCAGGGAGCTCAGAACGGCCTGGTGACCCCAGGCTCCGGCTACTCCCCCACTTCGGGACCTAGCAGTGGCAGGCGAGCCCCAGCACCTCCACTCCACCCCCGCCTGCCCCGCGTGCGGCCCACTGGTTGTCGGGCCACTGGTCGTCCAGCGACACCCTCGCTCCTTACCACTTGGACGGCGTGAGCAGCGTCGGGGGGTCCGACTTGGCGATCTTGAGCAGGACCCGCATGGGGTTGAGCTCGTGGTGCGGGGGCTCGATCTGGGCCATCTCGATCAGAGTGATGCCCAGGGACCAGATGTCGGCTTTGTAGTCGTACGGCGTGTCCTTCATGGTCTCACACATCACCACCTCGGGGGCCATCCTGAACCAACCAAGGGACAACAGAGGGCTCAGAACCTGGCCTCTGCGGGCGCTTCTCAGAGCCCCAGCTCCAGGCCCAGCACAAGCCAGCGTCAGGGGGCTGGAGGCACTCCTGGGTCACGATTCACATGACTGTCCATCCCACTGTCTTCCACGTGATGAGTCTTCACACAGAAAGATGCCTTCCAAGCCGCTCCACGGCCTCGTCCTGCTGCAGCTCCCGATGCCTACCACAAGATGGCAGCAGCCATCCAGAACACAGAGTCCTGGGGAGGGCGATGGGGGCAGAGGGGAAGGGGCCCAGAAAACACTGGGGCGGGAGAGGTGGCGGAGAGACTACAACGCAGGGAGAGAAGGGATGGAGAGAAAAGGAGAAAGAGGAATAAAGGGCAGAGAGAGAGAGAGAGAGAGAAAGGGTGAGTAATAAGCCAGCGAGGAGCCTAACTGCACAGTGGGGAGTAATGCGCATGAAAACCAGAAAGTAGTTAGGTGTGAAACCGAATGAGTGTTTTTAAACAGTAATAGTTTTGGAAAAGGGAGCACAATGAACTAGAGAAGTCCAGGGAGACTTCACGGGAGAGTAGGAAGTGAACTTGTATTATTCACCCTCGCAGCCCCAGCCCCAGCTTTGAATCTC